CAATGAGCAGTTCGGTGAAGGATTGGAGAAGCGGAGGAAAGCGCAAAGGCGTTCTATGATATCTTTGTCTTGAAGACGAAGCCCTTGCACGAAAAGACAACGGTATCGCGGTGGATGCAATTGGACGCATCATGGGGTTGAAGTCGCAGATTTCGATGGTATGTTGGCGTTTTGGATCCACGCTTCGGAGGATCACATCTGTAGAAGAACTTATACGAGTCACGAAACTTCTTCGTGCACTTAAGATGCCGTATGAGCAGATCCATGCTTGTCCGAATAGATGCGTCCTTTTTAGGAAAGATCACGAGGAGCAACGACCGTCCAAAGTGCAAATCCTCTAGGTACCGGAGGTCGACACTAGTGATGGCAAGAAGGAACAATTTGAGTATCCCTCTACGAAGGTCCTACGGTACCTTCCTTTCATCCGAGGATCAACATTTGTACATGATGAGGAGTCATGAAAGATGACATGGCACAAAAATGGCAAAAGGTACAATCCGGACAAGATGGTACACCCATCGGATGGCGGACGCTGGACCCATTTCGATGGCATACATCGTGTTAAAGCCGAGGAGGCTCATGAATGTACGTGTAGCGTTGGCAATGAATAGGTTCAACCCGTATGGATTGTCCGCATGGCCCCATACACTTGTTGGCCCGTGTTCGTGATACCTGAATCTCCCCGGTGTCATCTTTCAACCCAAGAACGTATTTTTGTCGTGATAATTTACGGACATCCGGGGAACAATATGGGTATATGGGTGTGTTAATGGAGCTGTGTTCGATGATTTGATCGATGCTTGGGAAAAAAAGAGGTGCGACATACGATGAGAGCTACAAAGAGAAACTTCACAATGCATGTGTGGTACCACTACTCGCTGCATGACTTCCTGGCGTATGGCCTATTCTGCGGGTGGTGTGTTCACGGGAAGTTCCCATGCCCAATATGCAAGGCAAGTGTGAGGTTCACTTGGCTGAAGAGTGGTGGCAAGTTTTCTTCGTTCGACCAACATCGTCAGCCCCCCCCCCCTTGACCATCCATTCAGACGAGACATCAAGAACTTCACGAAAGGTGTTGAAGTCACCGATCCTACACCTCGAGATGATGACCGCCGAGATCCGCTACCGAGATAGAGGCTCTCAAAGTTGATAAAGAGAAAGGTCGTTTTGATGGATATGGTCAGTACCACATGTGGACTCATAAATCGGGCTTGACTAGGCTTCCCTATTTCAACGATCTTCTTCTTCCACACAACATTGATTTAATGCACACAGAGAAGAATATCGCCGAGGCGCTTTGGGGAACACTCATGGACACAGAAAAGTCAAAGGACAATGTTAAGGCAAGAGTGGACCTGGCAGCACTGTGCGATAGACCAAAGCAAGTGATGAAGACTCCCGCGCCTGGCAAGAAATGGAAAAGGACTTCGATCGATTTCGTTTTGAAGGACCAAAGGAGGGAAGTATGTCGATTGGGTTCGATCGTTAATGTTCCCCGATGGGTATCTGGCGAATCACGAGGAGGGGAGTGAACGTGTCCACTTGCCGAGTGTTAGGGATGAAGAGTCATGACTTCTACATATGGATTGAGCGGCTCCTTCCAAATGATGACCGGAGGTTTCGTCCCCGAGCATGTGTGTGGCGGCGTCTGGCAGAGTTGAGCTATTTCTTCCGCATGACTTTGTGTGCCAAGGAGCTATCTCGGGCCGTGATTGATGACTTAGAGAAAGTGGCACTGTGTTGCTCTGTAAGATGGAGAAGATCTTCCCACCCGGCTTCTTCCTCTCAATGCGACATCGATTTTGCACACGCCTCACGAGGCACGAATGGGGGGCCCGTGCAAGCCCGTTGGTGCTATCCAATCGAGAGATGTCTAAAGGTTCTTGGAAAAAGTGTAGAAATAAAGCCAGAATTAAGGCATCCATGGCAGAGGCATTCATTCTTGAGGAGGTGTCAAACTTCACAACATCATACTATAAGGATAGCCTTCCCAACGTGCACAATCCAATCCCTCGTTACAACACCAACGAGAGGTCATCAAATCTCGGCCTTTTCAAAGGTCAACTTGGCGAGGGCAAGCGCTTGAGCACCAAGACCATGAATGATGAGTGGCGCACTATCATGTTGTATGTGTTGTTGAACCTTGACGAAGTGAACCCTTATGTGCGATAAGTTCTCAATGGCTTACACATACGCCGTCACTATCGTCTATCTATCCAACCCTTATCTCTTGCTTTTTTTGAGGAATTTACGAATACATCTCTTGGACAGAAATAGGATCCTTCCCTCAAGAACAAGATAGTCTTCTTAAATATGGTGTGCCTGATTTCATTTCATGGTTCGAAAAAAAGGTACCATCCAATTTACATCGTTCCATCTGTGACATCCCACTTTGCTCCTACGAGCGAGTAATGATCTATCCGCCCTCACCTTACGTGCACGCACGGATGCGGAAATGGATGAAGAGTTGAAACAGGTTGTCAAAGGCTTCCCTATAGGGTCAAGTCATTCACCGTGATATGATGTGAATGGCTATCGCCTTCCCACACAAGAAGCCACGAGCTCGGCCGGCCCAATCGAAAAACCACGAATCTTTGGAGTTCATACGCTTGCAAGACCGATGACCGCGACTACTACGGCATAGTCGAAGAAATATATGAGCTCAACTTTGAGCTTCGCGGAGGTCATAAGCCAGTCGTATTCAAATGCCATTGGTTCGATCCCAATGTCACGAGAAGAGCCCCTGAGATTGGACAAGTTGAAATTCGACAAGATTCCCTCTATCAAGGAGACGATGTCTATATTGTGGCTCAACAGGCCACGCAAGTTTATTATCTTCCATGGGCGTGCCAAAAAGATCCCACTCTTGAGGGTTGGTACCTTGCGCAGTTGGTATCACCGCATGGCAAAGTGCCTGTCCCAAACGATGGGGATTACAACTTTGACCCAAACACATATACAGGGGAGTTCTATCAACCCGAGGGGCTAGATGGCACGTTTGACATAGACATGTTTTCGCTGATAGGCATGGAAGTAGACAATGACATTGATGAGGACGATGGAGATGAGGACGATGGAGAAGAGGTGCAAAATGCCAAAGACTTACTTAATCGCTTGGCGATTACGGTTTGGCGTTGACATTGATGACAACGATGGAGATGAGGCGGAAATGTTAGACAATATTGATAGTGATGGCGACACTTATGATCCGACATTGCCGATCCTCGAAGATTATTTCTAATTCATGTAATACTATATTATTATTATTTTCTAGTTATGTTTCGTTCATTTTGCATCTCTATATTTGTCTATATTGTGCTAACTGGTTTACTCTTTGTATTTGCAGGCACTCGACAAAATGCCGGACGGAAGGCGGCCCTGGACCTGCAACTCGCTCTACTCTTTGTATATTGTGCTAACTGGTTTACTCATTTTGCATCTCTATATTTGTCTCTATGCAGGAGGATGTGCTTGTGATGGATGTTGGATGTGCTTGTGATGTATTATGGATGTATGTGATGGATTATGTATGCGTTTTATGTGATGCTAAATGCCTGTGTGCTGTCTCATGTATTATATATGAGTTTTGCGTGTTTGCTTTCGAAGGAAAGCAACAAACAAAAAAAAATAGCAAATTTCCCAGCTTTGCCGAGTGCCAACACTGGGCAAAGAAGTCTTTGCCGAGTGCGGGGTGTGGCACTTTCGGCAAAGCTGAAAAAATCTTTGCAAAAACAGCCACTTCCCAGTTTTTTGCCGAGTGTCACTGACTGGCACTTTCCTAAAAGAGGTTAATTTTGCCGAGTGCGGTGATACCACTCGGCAAAGACTATTTTAAAAGATTTTTTTAAAAAAATGGTTTCTTTGCCGAAAGTCTTGAGCCTTGGCTCTCGGTAAAAATTCAAATTTTGCCGAAGTGCGGTCCCCTAGGCACTTCGGCAAAGCCAGCAAATCAAATGTTGACGGCGGTTATTTTTTGCCGAGTGCGGGCTTGGCACTCGGCAAAGACTTTGCCGAGTGTCGATTTTGGCACTCGGCAAAAGAAATTTTTGCCGATAAAATCTTTGCCGAGAGACCTTTGCGAGTGCGGCACTCGGCAAAGCCTTTCTTAGAAAGTGCTTGGTGACTTTGCCGAAAGTGCCCCCAGTATTTCGGCAAAAAAGAGGCGTCTATGATGGTGTATGTTTCTAACTATTATCTAATTTTTAATGCAATTGCTATAGAGAGAGGTCTTTTTATGATGTTTTTCAGTACTGAGACCTACTATGGACTGCTTTTCCTTAAAAAAAACTTGTTAGGTTAAGCATACACTGGTCAAAGTTTCTTACACCACCATCTAAAACAGAACATTCTAAAATGTTTATGTCGTCCGCCTAAGTTTCCAGGAACCCACCCCAAATATACCTACCCCACACATGGAACATTTTATTTTTAACCCTCAGTTTAAACAATATTTAGTAACAACTTGGACAAAAGGGTATTTGCTGATCTAACTCTTTTCGACATGTCAGGGGCGTGGTGTGACTCATGCTGGTGCGGGTGGGTGGCTTGGTTCAGTGTTATAGCATGGTGATGCTGTTGGCCATTCCGGCCAGCCGGCAAGGCCATTGAAGGGGACAGAGGTATAGGTTGCTTAAGCAACCAAACCCAGTTTAAGTCAGTTCGTGTTTGGTTCAGGGATGAAGCGGGATGGGAATATGGATGGTCCCATTATGTTTTTTTTCTGTAATGGGATGATCCATCTTTGTTTGCTCTTTGGTTGGAGCCTTGAAGGTTTAGGAATGGATGGGATAATAACCTGTGCTCTTTCAGGCATTTCGTCAAGCATGTTGTAAGCATCTACCAACGCTATCACTACGCCCGCATGCCGTGCGCTCGCCGCCCGCCGTGCAAGGAAGGCAACCTGCGCCCACATTACAACAAGCAAGCAACTCAGCACGGCTTCTACCTGTGCCGCTGTGGGCTTTGATACCAGAAAAGCAAGCTGCCCGAACACGTTTACCTCAGCGTCTGCTCGCCTGCTCGGCCGCCGCCGCGCTCCCCTGGGGAATGCTGCTTGCTCGACCGTCCTTGCCGCGGCCCCGAGGCAGCTGCTGGCCGGCTGGCCCGACGCGGCTCCTTGGCTGCGCGCTCGGTCGTGGCTGCTGCTCGGTGCTCGCCCGCCTGCTCGAACGGGTCACTCCTTCCGGCCCCGAGCTTGCATCGCATGCCCCGACCTCGCCGGACTTGCCGAGCTTGCCTGCGACTTCCTCGTCAGCTCCGCCAACCTCGCAGGTGCCGCCCATCAGCTCTCCCGCGCTCCTTGCGCCTCGCCTCTCTCTTCGTGCCCGCCGCCGCTGCAGAGTTGTCTCCCGAGCTCGTCCGCCTGATTTGTGGGGACGGCTCGGTCCCGGGCCGTGCCGAAGTCCGAACCAAACACTGGACCTCCCTGTTGCTGGGCCGAGGCCCATGGTTTATATTAGCTAGCGTGGCAGAATCAAGCCTGTGTTTGAATGTCACGTGAGCCCCAATGTGAAAACAAATCAGTTTTCAAAACCAAGAATCAGTATTAGTTTCCAGTTACAGCGTTGTGTTTGTTACTGTAAAAATTTTGAAACCCCTAACTGAATGTATATTGGGGTTACTCGGTGACATTTTGTAGAAGAATTTAAGGCGATGATATATTTATATTAAGAGAGACTTTTGTTTATGCTTTCGGGAGAAAATTGTTCTAGGTTAAGGGAAAATAGTTCGAACTCAATGGTTGCAGTGAGGAGAAATATGTTCCAAGTCGAAGGAAAGAATATGGCTTATGTCAGGAGGAAAAACGTTATCAAAATTGTTAGGAGAAAATATTTTCTAGCATTCTATGCAATGTGAAAATGTTCTGAGTGAGTTCATAAAAATATTATAGCATCAATATTTTTTAGAGCATTAAAATAGAAGAAATAAGGCAAAATAAAAAAACCAAAATATGAAGAAATGAAATTGAAAATATAAAAATCATGGAACTAAAAAAAATGAATTTGGGGTATGATAACGGGGCATCTAAAATAGAAATAACAAAAAGAGACCAAGAAGAAACAATAAGTGAAATTTTAAATCTAAAAATAGGAAGAAAGAATAAATAAATAAAAGAGACAATGCTATCCCTCTATTGCCTCAATTTTAAATGGAAAAAATAAGTAACAAATGGGTGATGTGGGAACATTTTGAAATAGATGTAATAGAGAGAAAGGAAATAATTGGAAGGGAAAAAACTAGAAACAAGGGAAAAAGGAATAAAAGAAGCCATCTCGACAGAAAAAAGGGAAAAAAAGCCATCCTGATCCCTGGCCTGACTTGGGGCATTGCTGGTAGGGTTTGTATACGTGGCGATTGTATGTGCGTGTTTGTGAGCAGCTATGTTGTACTATGTAATAATTTAAAAAAAGGACAAAAGGAACCGAGAAAGAAAGACACACTGTAGCGGCTGGTCTAAAACTTGGCTGAAACTGACTGGTTTTGTGAGAGAGAAACATTGTAGCATCTGGTTGATAAACAGTGTTTTGTGAAGGGAGTCAGCCGGCTGGTCTGGACCATCCAAACCGGCGAACGCGCCCACAGGATGAGCTGTGCCCCCTGCAGACGATGTTCGAACCTACTATCCTGACCTCCTGGCCCCACTCAAGGCATTGCTGCTTCGAGGCTGAAGGTGATTAGCTTGATTCGGCTCAGATGTACAGAGCCTCTACAAGAACGGGATAGAACAGCAAAGTCTTCGAGTTTGTTTGGAAGAGTCAGGCGCCGTCGTCCGTCGAGAGTGAAGTTTTTTTTGGCTGGCTGCTCCTTCAGGATGGCATTCAAACCAAGGTTAATCTACGGCACAAGAACGTTGTAGAATGGGACACTTGCGGGCTCTGCAATGGCTCGCCGGAGGATGTCGGTCCTTTTGGGCACACATTGGCTGGGGTCAGAACTTCCCGCCGGTCGCCCAACTCTTGAGCTTGCATCGCCCAGACCTCGTTCCTCTGAAACACTTCTCAACTATGATGCTCCTCTGCTGCTGACAAATTTGGAAACATAGACATGAAGTGGTCTCCCACGTCACCAATCCCCCAAGTTAGCACGGTTAGAGCAGTCTCAATGAAAAAAACTAGTAGTTTCTATAACATAGGATACCGTACTAAAAAAAAGTACTGTTTTTCAACCCATGGTTTCTACGAGTAATAATTATTTTCTCTTTCTCTCTCCCAACTCTATCTTCTTCCTTCAATGGAAGTACGACACGAGCTCTCTAGAAACTGGTGGTTTCTCCCCAATGACGATTTCATGGTTTCTTGGTGCATTGGGTCAAGAGTAGACCTGATTTCTTCATAAGGAAACCATTTCTATGATTTTTACTCTCTTTCTTCATTAATTACGGTTGCTATGCAGCGTTTTGCCTACGTGGCAAGTTATTTAATGATGATAGAAACCATCATCAATATTGGTGGCATGCAAAGAGAATTGTCGTCTGTGGAGCTGCCGGCTAAGAAATGAAGACAAATGGGTCTCTGATTCTTGGTGTAATATGTTTGTAATAATGAATTACGCCTCACGCCCTCACCCCTCCCTGATGTAACCCTCCACTACCGGCTAGCCGAAATCAATGGTAAATCATTCAGGTGGAGCGTCATTCCTCTGGTGTTTCTCTCAAAAGAAAAACAATGATCTTTATGTAGTTACAAACATATAAGCAATGCTACATCATGACCATGTGGAATTGATGTTGTTTCACATACATGCTTCAACCTGATATCCTGATGTATACTTTTAAGAAACAAATACAAAAAAAAGAAAGCGAAGAAAACCTCATTAACACTACTGTCTGGATCTATGTACCATGTTTGCACTTTGCAGCGGCTCTTACTAGACAGACAAAGAGAGAACCGCTCCTTTCTGGATCTATGTACTCACACGATTACCAAGTCTTTTCACATTATTGTGACTAGAAATTCGTTTATGTGTACCAAAGCAATTCGAGGTGTACATACAAATCCATGCATGTATACACTAAGGGCAGTCCCAATGGTGTATTGATGATGGCTTCTATCCTCATTAAATGACTTGCCACGTAGGTAAAATGCTGACATGGCAACGTAGTTAATGAAGAAAGAGAGCAAAAATCATAGGAATGGTTTCCTCATGAAGAAACCAGGTCTTCTCTTGACCCAATGCACCAAAAAACCATGAAATCACCATTGGGGAGAAACCACCAGTTTCTAGGGGGTTCGTGCCGCACTCCCATTGGAGAAAAAAGATAGAGTTGGGAGAGAGAGAAAGAGAAAATAATTATTACTCATAGAAACCATAGGTTGAAAAGCAGTACTTTTTTGGTGCGGTATCCTATGCTATAGAAACTACTAGTTTTTTTCATTGGGACTGCCCTAATTGAAAGTGCATCTAGCCCTTTAGTGGGTTTTGGATGATTGAATGACAACGTGATTAAAGGTCTAACCTGTTTGCTAAGTGTGGACAGGTTATAGGTTATCTCATGAGTACTTAATGAAAGTCAAAATGATGTGTTGTTGTATAAACAATCTAGTTCAAGCACAAGACAACAATGCAAATGTTATTCATGCAAAGGCTCATTTATTGTGGGATTTCCATTTGCTATGTGAAAGCAAGCTCGTGAGAATTAATTAATGAGACATGAGAAATTGCATATGGAATGATCTCATACTTGAAGCTTGCTAAATTGAAATGAAAAAGATAACAATACAAATGAATGGATGATTCAACACAAGAAGTGACTTGATGGCTTGAGATGGTGAAGATAACAAGGAAAGGCTTCGAGGTACTAAGCAAGGGTGAAGGGCAAGCGACGGCTTGGCGGCCGAAGAACCTAGCTAGGGTGAAGAAGAAAGTACTTGCATTTAGTTGAGGTACTAATCAAGCTATGATGGCCATGTTCATGTGGAGGATCAAATCACTATTGGATTGTTTGATGGAAGTGACTTGATACATTTGGGATTATTCAAATTTGATGAATGGAATCAAGTCACGTGCTCAAGATGGCTATGCTCAAGTGAAAAGATCAATATCAACATGTTAGCACCCTTACTTGATGAAGATTGAAAGAGACGGCATCAATTCAAAAGAGATCAACTCAAGTGGTATAAATCCTTTTTTCCTTTGATCTTGAGTTTAATAGGTATGCCGTACTATTAAGAGGGATGCATCATGTTGATAGATAATGTTTCATAAGTGCTCAAGCCAACCCATGTGAGATTTGAGTGTTTGAGAGACAAAAAGGCTAACTGACTTGTTGCTGGTCTGGCCTTACCGAACGTGTCCGGTATGCATACCGGACGTGTCCGGTATTTGCCCAGTAACTGTAAAAATGTTGTTCTTGGGTTGGTTCGTCGGGAGTTTTGGCAAGGGTCGGGAGTTCCAACGTCTCACACTTTAACTGTCTTGGAGGGTTCACTGTCCTTGTCATACCGGACGTGTCCGGTATGGACGACCAGAGGCCAACGGCTAGTTTTCCAAAGCCTTGAGGGTCGGGAGTTTCGACGTGAGTCGAGAGTTCCGACGGTCGGAAGTTTCGGCATGTGTCGGGAGTTCCGACACCTCATATTCTTTAACTCAGTTACATGGTTTTCAAATTTACTGAGGGTCAGGAGTTCCGACGTGAGTCGGGAGTTCTGGCTATCGGGAGTTCCGGCATTCATCGGGAGTTCTGACATCTCACAACTTCACTGTAACTTAGTTACCGTTGGGGCAGTGTAAGTCATACCGGACATGTCCGGTATGCATACCGGACGTGTCCGGTATTGCAACGGCTATAAAACAGCTAGTTTTTCAAGGGGGCTATAAATACCCCCAAGCCTCCATCTTTGGAGGTTGCTGATTCTGCTGAGATAGACACACGTTTTTGAGCCTTGCTAACTCTCCCAATCCTCTCTTAGTGAGTGTGTGATCCAAATTACAAAATCAATTTGTGGGTTAAGAGAGAATTTGAAAAAGAGAGCAAGCCACCACTTGAGCACTTGTGCATATTGTCAATCTCGTGATTCGCATTTGTTACTCTTGGACTCTTCGGTCCTAGACGGCTAGGCGTCGCCGGAGAGCAACCGAGAGATTGTGGTTGCTTCGGAAAGTTTGTAACGGTCGATTTCGCCGCCTCGGAATCATTTAGTGGAAGGAGGAAAAGGAGTTGGAAAAGACTCCAGCTAGAGTGACCTTCGTGGTACCCTCTAGGGCTGACCTTCGTTGGGTCGCCCGCAGCCCCCTCAACGGAGAGTAGGACTCGAACGAGTCCGAACTTCGGTAAAACAAATATCGTGTCTCAATTCGCATTTCATTTGATATTTGTGTTGCTCTAGCTATTCTGCAGGTTCTCTGTGTATATTACTATCTCTAATAGTTTCCTGCAGTTTGGATTGAAGATAGAAATCAAAAGGAGCAAGTTCGGGGCTGTTCCACTGAAGTCGTGAATACCGGACAC